TGGAACCAGGTGGGACAAAATCTTCTGTCTACAGCTGACTTTCAATCACAGATTCATATGACAGACTATTGGAGACACGAGAGAAGACAGGCTATGCCCAGAAGAGTTCAGAGTTATATTTCATAGATGCCATTGATACATCACACCCCCACTCTCCTGTAATCACACTCCCTCTTAACACCACAGTTCATATAATGGTATGCTGACTGAGTACTTTCCCTGATGTAATAAATCTGTTGTGTAATTCTCCTACTGGGGATATCCCTATAGGTCCTTTGTATCCACAGAATGCCCAGGGACTTTCCTCCTGGAATCAGCACCCCATGCGTCATCAAGTCTTCCCCACTCTGCCTACAAACATCCCCTTTATACCAAGTACATGATTATAGCTCCCACCCAGAAAGACTTGAAATTAATTCCTAGCCTCCTTATTCCCACATTGGTCCCTCCCTCCCTTTCTATCCACTCTCAGAGCTAATATTCAAGCTCTGATTCCTTCTAGAAAAACATTTTATGAAATTACACTAATAGTGATCTTATGCTGATTTTTCATAGCATTTCTCTAAAATAATCTTTCTGGCATTAAGTCATAAATAAATTATTTATGTATTTACTTATTTTTTTGTCTTTCTGAACTAACCAAAAATTCTTTGAGGTCAGTAAAAAGACTGAATTTTTCTTGCTTATTTTCATGTATCCTTCCATTTATCTATTCATTGAGGCCCTCTTTGTACACAGCACTATACCAGGTAGTAAAGGAGGCTACTGTACTTGGACATAGTAAGACCTTAGCAAATATTTGTGGGTTAATAAATTGTACCCCTTCTCCTGGCAAATAGCATATTTATTTAATAGGGAAAAAAGATTTTAAGCTCTTATAATTTTAGCTCATTTGACCACAGAAATCTTATAAATTTTAAATAGCCCCCAGGAGTCAACAGTAGGAAGTTTCAACTATTGGGTTTCAGATAGATTTTATTATATATTCACTTGCTCATATTCTTGAGAATTTAATATCACTTTTGTAATGGCTGCTAAAAGGATGTTATTGCCTCTTTAAACCATACATTTTATCCTTCAGTTTGACATAAAATGCTATAAATAAAACAGATGGAAAACTATTTAGCTACTTGACATCTATAATAACAGGGGGTGTGTTTCTATAAGGCCAGATTTATAAATAGGCAGAGGCTCCCAGATTTTCTTATTATAATTTAATTGCACAAACTTCTGTTGAGGGTTTGTATCATCTAGATAACAAATATGTCCATAAAATAAGCATTATGATATAATACATATTCAAGCAAATGAATAAATGTCACTGTGAATGTTCTCTTGAATTGCAACAAACAAGTGGTATAGCCCCTGATGTTTACTTCAATTGGCCCTGAAGGAATGGATAGGCTGCTGGGTAATCACCATGGTTACTGATTCACTCTTCGTGTGGGAATGGTACTAAGGCAAAATAGTACCATCTATCATATAGCCTGATCCGTCATAATATACAGCAGGGATGCTCATCTTGCAGCTTTAGGTTTAAAGAGACTGCTGATTTTTGTTTAAGGGGGGGCTGGGTTGTAGCGCAATTGGTAAATTCTTAGCTAGTACACATAAAGCACTGGGTTCGAAACCGTGTACCACATAAATACAATATGGTGGTAGCACACACCTGTAATCTCAGCACTCCTGAAGTGGAGGCAGGAAGATTTGGAGTCCAAGATCATCCTTGCTTACATAACCAGTTTAAAGCCAAAGTGGAATATACAGACTGTGAAGGAAGGGGATAAGAGGAACATCTTTAAAGAGAAAATATTATTTTAATTGTGTCAGATAGAGAGTGAGAACTTGCAAAGCCAATTTCAACCTCTGAATAACACTCATTGCTTCCAGAGAGGATTTACTTTCTGCTTCCATTAGTTATCTGGGCTAAGGGCAGACCTCCTAAATCCAGCTGAGGATGAAAATAATTCTAATTTAGACTCTAGTCCTTTTGAGAACTGGCCTTTCCAAGGGATTCCAAGAGCTCTGCTTAACTTCTCTGCCTTTGGCCTTGACATTCAGCAGGAATCTTGTGAGAAAGAGCAATCCCAGATGCTGTGCTCCCCTTCCTGTCCTCAGACCCCACATCTTCTGCCTCCCCTGCCTCCTCAGGCCCCTGCCTCCCCTGCCTCCACAGCCCCCTGCCTCCCCTGCCTCCTCAGCCCCCTGCCTCCCCTGCCTCCTCAGGCCCCTGCCTCCCCTGCCTCCTCAGGCCCCTGCCTCCCCTGCCTCCACAGCTTTCAGTGCCTCACATAGGTGACCTATGCATCTTGTTTTTCTTGCCTTTCTCTCAGGAGGCTTTCTTTGAATCTATGGCCAGAAGTAGAGGAGCTCACAGCCCTGCTTTGACGACTCCTGTCACTTTCCCTGTCTTAAATACTGATCCTTAATAGCTCAATGCCCGGTATCTCCTCTTCCTCCCTTGCCCATCTGGCGTTTATAAAAGGGTCTCTCAAGATCTAACTGTATTCCCACTCACAGACTTTGCTTATGACTGTGCAAATTTCTATCAGGTGTCAAGTCTTGTCTTGAATTGGATGACACAACACAAAATATCTTGGAGCTCAAACAGTTAAACTGGAATTCCTATCTGAGTCTATATTATTTACTTCTGTGTCGCTATGAATAAAATACCTGATAAAACACTTTAAAGCAAAGAATTACCATCTTTCTTTTTTCCGTTCCTTTCCTCCCTTTTTCTTTTTGGCTCAGTCACAGAAGATTTGATCAAGAGCTCTCCCTACCTCATGATTTTGATGGAGCATCATGGCAGCTGGAGTATGTTATAGAAGCACTTCCTCACCTCATGGCTGATGAGAAGCAGAGAAAAAAGCCCAGGGACTAGGTAACACCTTGAAAGACGTGTGACCAGCTTCTCCCAACCACATCCTGTCTCCAGAAATTTCTATTGTCTCCCTTCCCCCACTAAGCAGCAACTGTGGTGATGCCTTGTTTGTACCAATAAAGGGTGTCTGAAGATTAGAGGGTAGAGCTTGCCACTAGCTAACCACAGAGGTCTGGAGACAGGTAGGACGTGAGGTAGGTTAGTGGAGAAAGGTTAGGCAGGACGAAACAGGAACTAGATCTCTTTTCCACTGGGAAGCTGAAGTAAAGGTGGCTTTGACTTTCTCCTTCTTCTCTCTGATCTCTCGGCATTTTCCCCTATATCTGACGCTGGGCTTTTATTATCAAGACCCATGAGAACTCGTGTTACAAGCAACAGCGCTGGGAACCTAGCATTCAACATGTAAATTTGTGGAGAGCATTTCTTATTGAAACCACAGCAGAACCTCCCACCCTGAAATGACAGAAGACATGCCAATACCAGAGGGGGCTCTATAGGAAACCATGGCATCCACATGTCTATCCAACAGAGAGGAGATAATCATTTTGTGCTATGACATAGTCAAAAAGTTACTCCTTTATGCAATGGGGACTAATTGGAAGCTTTCTCATACTGACTGTCAACTCAGAGTATACTTAGTGATACAGGGAGAGCAGGAGCCTAACACCACACAGACAAAGCAAGCAACCTTCAAACAGAAAGGAGAACAAAGCAGCAAACAGTTCCTAGGGCAAAATCTCAGTAATGAGAAAGACATCCTGTTTAAGGAGACTGTTGGCTTGTGAGAAAAGAAATCCATGCTTCCTGATTATGTGATAACACAGTATGGCACAGACCAAATGATGATGGATGCAGAGAAAAGACTTGGAGTGCATTCAATAAACCAAACCAACAAATCAGAACAATTAAGACTGGGAAAACACAAAGAGGCACATGACCTAGCTGTATATGTGACAGCATTGGGAATAAAGTCACCAAGTAAATCTCCATGGGCAGTAGTGCATTGCTTTCACAGATTATTTGTGTCTGGGTGGCTAAATGGTCCCCAAGAAGAGTAGACAACTGATTGGTTGGTTGATTGATGATTGATTAATTGATTGATTGATTGATTGATGATTGTTGACTGACTGACTGAAAAAAGTTCTTACTATGCCTAGGACTCACTATGTAGACAGAGAAACTTGTAGTAATCCCCCTGTCACTGCCTCAATGCAGGAATGCAGCTAATACATCCATCTTACAGATGGCTCTTGAATGGTGGCCTGGAAACATTGTTTTACCAAGTTGATGGCACTTCAGTGGGTGGATAGCTGGAGAAATTCAGGTTTGTGAATGTTACTTGTATAATAAAAACTAGAGAAAAAGAAGAGGATATGTAGGAAGCAAACAAATTATTAGTTTTCAATTTAATATTTTTGAGTTTGAGTGTGCATTTGGTGTGTGGTGTGTTTACTGTGGGTGTACCTGTGTAAGAATACCGAGGCCAGACGATGCTGAGTGCCTGACCTTATTACTCTTCATTGTATTCCTTTGAGACAGGGTCTCTCATTGAACTTGGAGCTAGATGTGTGGCCAGCGAGTTCAATGATCCTCCTGTCTCCACTTCCCACAGCACTGGGGATGCTAGCACATAGAGTCATGCCCAGCTTCTCATATGGGTTCTGGGGATTTAAATACAGGTCTTCACACTTATATAGCAAGCACTCTAAACCCTGAGTCATTTCTCTGTCCAGTTTTTGTTCTAAAGTGGTTGGCTCATGGGTAACACTCTTCCTTCCATGCTTTCCCAGAATTCCCTGAAGCTATCACACTTCAAAATAATTATTGAATAGGTAGAAATGACACAAAGAACTGACATCAATCTAACACACACAGTAAATGGCGTAATAAAAGCTTTCTTTTGAACTTCAATTTCTTTGGACTTAATTCCAGCAGCAAAATTATAAATGCCTGCATGAGCTCCTAGAATAGAGTACAATAGTTTCACAAGCTTGTAGAGTTCAGCTTTCCTGGTTTCCAGTTAGCCCCTCCACTTTTACATCTACTTTTATTTTTTAAAAATCAAATGAGTGATGCATTTTTTTCACTCATATTATTTGTGAATCTTTTTTTTTACCTGAAATTCTCATATTCTTGTGCATGCCGTCTCCATGGGCATTTCTGGATGTTTGTGATGATCTGCAGATAGTCGTCCTCTGAATACCTGGGAGTTGAACATCAACAGGATTAGACAAGGAAGTCTCCTGGGGCACCCTGAGGATGTGTCTGTACTCTCCTCATTTCAGCCCTGAGACCAAGCAAAAATCATTAAATATCATACTTGCTCCCAAGTGCATAGGCACATACAGCTTGCAATTTGTTATTACTAGTATGCTGGTTTAAGAATGTATATACTGCAAATCTCATAAGCCAAGTTCAACATTACAACCAGTGAACATGTTCTCTGCATGTGTCTCCTTTCTGTCTCTATCACTCTCACACACACACAAAAGCAATTTTATATTAACTTTAACTCAGTGACAGATAACTACTTTCTAAATGTTGATGATGAACATATAGTTGTTAAAGATTCTGGAAAGCTTCATATTTGAAATATGTAGTTAGAACCCCCTGCACACACACAAACACACACACACACACACACACACACACACACAAACAAACGTGCATAATCGTCTAGTTTTAATTTACTGCAATACATTAAAAATCCAGACTGGGCTTTGGTGAGAAAGCTGTATACAGGCATAAAAAACTATAGACAGTGACAAAGTCTGATAAGATGGCATGGGACAAAAATCCCAGCTCCCTTAGATCTCTCTCAATCTAAAATTCCATCATTAAGTATTAATTCCTAAAGCACAGAATGCTGTTTCATCTTTAAGGGCGTTCATTTGAAATGCAAATATCCCTCTGAATTGAGAGAAAGAGAAAAAAAAACACCTTGAGTTTTCTTTCCATTCCTCTCTCAGCCATCAGGTTGCCAGCCATTAAAGATCAAAGCTGTGCAACAAAGGAGGGGGGGGGGATACGTTGGTGAGTGTGTAGAGAAGAGAAAGGGTCTGCACAGCTTTACCTGGAGGAAGGAGTCCATTACCCATAACAACACAATGAAGACTCTCCAAAGTTATCTTTAAAAGGAAGAATTTCTGCCAGGCATGGGTATAGTCGACCATAGAACTCCTTTGTAGCCGAAATTTACTTTCCTCTTGGGTTTCTCCCTCCAACAATGCTAGCACCAAGGAATCAAATTGATTCCCACTGAATGCACAGATGAACCCAGAAAAATCTAAGAATGTGGTGAATACTGGAAGCAAAGCAAAGAGCTTCCACCCTAAGGATTAAAAGTAGTTTTAAGGCAAGTTCCCCAAAACAGATAAATCACTACATGGGTCTAGTACTCATCTTAGTACACTATATCATAAGAGCCCCATGCTGTGACCCCCAAACTGTCAAGATGAGAGATTTCCAGGCTGAAGTGTAGTACCTGCCTCCACAGGGTTGAGGACAGCCAAAGACCTTTGCAAATGACTGTTAGACTAAATTTGAAGACACCCATTCGGCAGCTTCCTGAAAACATTCCTAATTCTGGATCCTTAAGATATCCACTGCTGGGTTCCACGAGCTTCCACTTGTTCATCACTCCCTCTCTGCAACGGGATTCCAGGAATTCGGCTCACTACTTAGCTGTGAATTTCTGCTTCTGCTTCCATCAGCTACTGAAAATGATGTGGCAGACTTTGAAGATTCCCCATGGAAGACCTCATCTTCCTTGGGGAACAGAAAAGGGATGGGTTAGGGGGTCAGTGGGGGGGGTGAGGCAGGAGGGGAGGGAGAGGGAACTGGGATTGACATGTAAAACAAGATTGTTTCTAATTAAATAAGAAAAAAGAGAGAGGAGAGAAAAAGAAAAAAAATAAAGATACCCCCTGCTGTGACATCTTTCCTGTCTAGAGAAGTCTTATCAACTGCTAAGGCATAACTTTAAATCTTTTCAGGATGTTATCAGGACAATTAGAGCACTGCATGTACAAGAACCATGAAGCAAGGTAACCAAACATCTTTGGTTCACTAAGTTCCATCAGTGGAAAAGTGTAAGGAAGAAAAAAAAGCCCAACACAAGTCTAATTAAACCAATGAGAATTGCAATTGTTTTTGAAGCCAACATAAAGTATAATTGGAAGATAAAGGAAATATAACCCTATTGTCTTATCATCAAACTATATGTACCAGAGTCTGAATTTTTTGGTATGCTATTTATAAGACAAAAGAGAAATGAAACTTTTATGATGTATGGCTCAGGCTAGTGCACTTGAAGACTGAGCAATACAAACTACTGAAAATTAAAAACAAATGCAGCAAACTAAAAGCACTGTGAACAAGCTGGTTGGAAGAGTACAAGCCTGTAATTCCAGTATGCAGGGGACACTGAGGCAGATGGATCATGAGTTCAAGTAGAGCCAGGCTATGTAACAAGACCCTTACATTGCTTTAACTTATTGACAAGTAAATACGAACTTTTAAAGAGAAAAATTAGCAACAGAGAACCTTCAATTGTTGGATATCGGTATAATTGTAGTCCTCATAACAGAGGAAACACATCTTTGAAGTCTGATGGGATTTATCACCAAAACTAATGAAAACTATAAATCTATACACACAAAGAACAAGGAAGAAAATGACAACATAAGAATGAATTCTTAGTGGAAGGAAAGAGAAAAACCTAAAATGGAATGAAATACAACACAGTATTACAAAGAAACAACAGCCTGCAACACACTTCTTGTTAAAAAGAATGGGAACCATAAGGCAGTGAATAGTGACACAAACAGCAGAATGGGGCTGGGAGAAGCTCATTTTAGAATTCTAGACTCAGAAAATCTTTCCAAAAATGAAGGTAAAATAAGAACTTTATCAGCAGCAACGTCGGAGGAAGTCTCTCGTAGAACAGCAATGAAGGCAAACGGTGTCCGGGTTGACAAACCATAATGAAGAGCTCTAGAAATAGACTATGTAAACACATAAGGGATCTGTGCCTTTCTTTCCTATGTTTCCTTAAAAGGCAATTGAGGGTTAGGAGATGGGTTATTCCTTGCCTGGAAAGCATAGGGACCCCAGCTTGATTCCCAGAGTCCAGGTAAAAATGACAGTCAGGATGGCACACACGTTTGAAATCCTGGCAGGAAGGTAGGGACAGCAGGATCTCTGAGGCTTGCTAGCTCTCAATCCAGCCTATTTGGTGAGACCAATGCTATTTGAGAGAGAGACTCCATCTCAAAGGAGGTGGACAGAGTTACTAAGGATGATACCCAAGACTGATCTCTGTCCTCTGGCATGTGCACACACACACACACACACACACACACACACACACACACACACTTTCTTTAAGTATTAAAAAAAACAAGGGAAATGGCAGGTTAAAGATAGTAAAAATAGATGGAAATGATTATAGCATTTGTAAAATAAGTATAATCACAATTACAGAACAAAGTCTACATGGCAAGTGTAGAGTGGAAGAAGCAGGATCACAAGATGTAAAAAGCATTTGAAAGGAGACTACAGTAGGAAAAGAGATGTTTGCTGTGTCTAAAATAACCAGCAAGAGATAAAGAAAGCCACGCAAATGCAGTCATAAAAGTACTCAAAGCAAGAGGAAGTAGATAAAAAGAAGCAAAGAACAGGCAAATGAAAACAAATGGCAAGAGGGTGGAATACACACAACTGTATGAAAAATAATATTAAATGTAAATGACCTAGGCACACCCATCAGAAGGCACGGAATGGCAGACTGAATTTTTTAAAAAGCAGTAAAGTGTATGTGTTTTGTTTTCAAAACCAACATCATACCAACAAGCAAAGTATGGGTGTGTAAGAGAAAACAGTAGAAAGATAACCACAGTAGAGATAATCTCTTTTTTAAAAAAGTTTGAGTGGCTATAATCACAGTCAAGCCCAAACAAGAAATATTACCATATAAAATCAATATTAATGAGTAAGAACTATTATTATGAAAACAGGGTAAGATGAGAAACAAAACTTATATGCCTGTTGCTACCCTGCTTGACCTAGGGAAGGTAAGAGAAGATACAAATGAGCAATGTTGAGAATGAAAGTCCAAAGAGCAACTGTCCTAATGATATCACACTGTGTCAACAACAGTTTGGCTGACTTAAATGCAAAGGATGTACTTACTTAAAGGTAAAAATACCAAAACCCACTCAAAACCCACAGTCGAACAGTATCACTGCTATTTTAAAACTGCAATGAAAATACTCTCTGAACAGAAAACAGGCATACAAATGGCTTCACTGCTTTCATCAAACTTTTTAGGAGTGTTAATACAAACTATACATCTATGTAAACTCCTCAAAACCTGAAGGGCTAGGCATCTCCCAACTTACTCTATGAGAACAGTGTTGTCCGGATCCCACAGGCAGGACAAAAATATTGTTTTTCAAAGTACAAACATCCTTTATAAACACACATAGGAAAATGTTTAACAAAAGCTTGTTGAATTAAATCCAATGGTGCATAAGAAGAGCAAGGGTCCATGAGCGAGCTTCAGGAATACAGGTTGGCTATGAGAAATACCAACCAATGCAACTCACTACCTTAAGTAATAATGAAGAAGATCCCGTCATAGTTTCAACACATGAAAATAGGAACAGCTTTCAGCACAGCCTAGCATTCAATCACCACAAAAACACTCAACAAGTTTCAAAGCAGAAGGAATTTTCTCAGAAGATCATACTTCGTAGTCAAAGCTCCCAATAGTGAGGAACATGGAAGGATGTCCACTGTCTCCAGCTGTCTGCCATTTGCACTGGGGGTCCAACCAGCACAATAATGTAAGAGAAAGGAGCAGAGCCATCAGACTAAAAGAAGGAAGTAAAACCGTTTCTACTCAGAGCTCAGAGATAACACCATCATCTACCGAATCTACAGAAAAGCTACTAAAATGAGTAACTTAGCAAATATGAAAGATCCAAACTCAACAATTACATTGGAAGCAATAACTGGAAGTAAAATGCAACTGTGAAACATCCTAAAATAATTGGAACTAGGACTAGCAATATCCCTGTGCAGATTAACATTTAAAAACATGGCATATGGAGGGATGAATTTGACAAACAGGTGTAAGGCTTGTGCATTGAAAGTACAAAATGCTGTAAAGAGAAATTGAAGAACTAAGTAAATAGAGCC